CTGCGTGTCCGGAGCCTGTGCTCCGCAACGGGAGAGGCCACAACAGTGAGAGGCCCGCGCACTCCAAGAAAAAAAAAAAAAAAAAAAAAAAAAAAAAATTCTGTGGAGGTGGGAAAACTGAATTTTGTGGGAAACAAAAGTAACCTGCATTGATGATATTAGTCTGTCAAAATTTCTGCATTAAAGGGATCTAAAATAAAATAGGTAATAGGAAATTGTGTACTTCAGTGCATCACTAGCTACTGCAGTCAAAGAGCAAAAAAGATTGTGGTTTTAATGCTTTTTAGTCTCTGCATGTTAAAAATATCTTTTACTATGTGATTTTTTTTCTTCCTTTAACTTTTTATATTTGCCAATTAAAAATGAGAACGTATGACATACAGTAAAAACACGTTTAAAGTATTTTATCTTAATAGAAAACTGTGGGCCAAGAAAATTGACTTTAAAAATTTAAAACAGTGACTTTTTCTTTTTTTTCATACTCACTCTGGATTTCTCCACAACATTTGACATTGTTGATTATCCCTTCCCCTGACATTGTGTTATAATTTCTTTTCTAACTCTGACCCTCTTTCATCTCCTTCGCTGCTGTCTATTATTTCCCCTGCCTTTTGATCCGGGGCATTAGTCAGATCCCAGCCTTAGGCTGTCTTTTTTGGTTCTTTTACACTTACCCTTTCCAGGTGCTTATCCCCTCAACATGGTTTCAGTTATTCCCTCCCAAATCTGCATCTTCAGTACCGATGTACATTTCTAGTCCTTCACCTTCAGTAAACCTTCACTGATTAGTCCCATCTGCCTGTGAATTCTTATAGAGTGGGCTCTATGCAGTTTATCTCAGGTTGAATATAGAGCTCTGCCACTTGGATGTCCAATAATCATTTATAACTTTAGTAAGACCTCGATTGGCTTCTCTTTGCTTGAAAAGAGACACTTTGTAGCACAGGAGTGATTTTTAACTTAATTTTTTAGTGTTGCAGTTATACACCCAGCATTCCATCAAAATCGAATCTGTTAGTTTTGCTAACTTGCCCAGTCCAGCGGTCACAGTTCTCAGTCAGCATTTCACTGGACGTGTGAGCAGCATTTGACACGACTGACTCCTCCCTCCTGCTAGATATACTTCTCCCATTTGGCTTTCAGGAAGGGCACTCTGCTTGCTTGCTTTTCCTCCTGTCAGTCACGCCCTCCCGCAGAGTTCTCACTGTCTTGTGGCTTTAAATTTCACCTACCTATTGATGATACCCAAATTCTATCTCCACCTCTTTCCTGGAGTCCAGACTTATGAATCTGACTGTCTTCTTTGACATCTTCATTTGGATGTCTAACAGACTGAATAATTTAACGTCTCCACCCCGGAGCTGTTGATCCCAACAAACCCATTCCTTTTGCAGTCTTCACCAACTCAACGCACAGGTGCTCCACCGTCTAGTTACTCACGTCAGAAACCCTGGGGTCTTCCTCGACGCCTCTCTCATATTCCATGGCTAGTCATTGGGTAAACCCATCTTCTCCACTTTTGAAATTCATCCAGAATCCAAGTACTTCTCATTACTTCCAAAGCGGCTACCCTAGTTCAGGTCTGTATTATCGCAGTAGCCTCTTAACAGATCTCCTTGCTCCTGTCATCATTCCCCTACAGTCTGTTTTCAACATAATAGTCAGATGATCCTTCCAATCAATGGAAGTCAGATTATGTTGCTTCTCTCTTTAAAATCTGGCCATTTTGGGCTTCCCTGGTGGCGCAGTGGTTGAGAGTCCGCCTGCCGCTGCAGGGGACGCGGGTTCGTGCCCTGGTCCGGGAAGAGCTCACATGCCGCGGAGCGGCTGGGCCCGTGAGCCGTGGCCGCTGAGCCTGCGCGTGCGGAGCCTGTGCTCCGCAACGGGAGAGGCCACAGCAGTGAGAGGCCCGCGTACCACACACACACCCACACACACAAACATGGCCATTTCACTCCAGGTAAAAGTCAGATCCTTACAGTGATTTCTAAGGAAGGCCCTGTGGAATCTGGCCACCTCTTCCCATCTCTTAGCTTTCCTTCCTTTACTCCCTTGAAGCTAACCAGGTGGGAATCCTCTGAATTACTTGAACACGTATCTGTCTGGTTTCCTTCCTCATTTATTCCAGGCCTTTACACAATTGTCGTCTTCTCAGTGAGACACTCACTGGCCACTCTATCTAACCCCCACCTCCCTGTCCCACCCCACCTGACATTTCTGAACCTTTCCTTCTTTTTCTGTTCAACATGTAGTTCTAACATACTAGATATTCTGCATATTTATCTCATTTATTGTCTGTCTTCTCCACTCTAATGTGTGTTTTTGTTCACTGTGATATTCCCCCATCATAAGAAGGCGCTCCATAAATAATTGTTAAATTAATGGATTTTATTGCATATCCTCTTAATTTCTTCTAAGTTTGTTCTTTCTTCTTACAGCCCCCTTTATCCCCTCATGTCTGCATCATTGCAGCTTTCTGGTCACGCATCCTTACCTCAGTCTCATTAAACACAAACCTGCTAAAAATTTTCATCTTAGATACATTTTATTGTGATTCTTTCTGCTTAAGAATTGGCTTAAACTCTCCATTCTTTCTTATGTTGAATCTGATCTCCTTATTACTTTGCAAAGTACTTATTACTTTGCAGTAGTAGCTCCATCCTATTACTGTTCTCCCCATGTCTAATCATAATTATCTTCTGCTAAAAGCACAGTAATCTGCGTGTTGTCACCTAAGTGGTCTTGCTTGTCTCTCACCTCTGTGGCAGGTCCCAGTCCTTCAGCACCAGACCATTTGGCTCACTTCTGTCAAAATGTGACTGAAAACTTCTTGCCAGGAAGACTTCTGTGATATAATTAAACAATTTTTACAATATTTATGTTTAATGTTGTTTTCTAAAATATGTTTTTCATGGAGATCAGCATACATTCTTTATTATCGATAGATACATTGACTCACATTTTATCTTTTCTAAATACATTCGTGAGGTTAAAACTTTATTGGGGGGACTTCCCTGGTGGCGCAGTGGTTAAGACTCTGAGCTCCCAATGCAGGGGGCCCGGGTTCGATCCCTGGTCAGGGAACTAGATCCCACATGCATGCCTCAGCTAAGGAGCCTGCCAGCCACAACTGAGGAGCCCGCCTGCCGCAACTAAGACCCTGAGCAACCAAATAAGTAAATAAACGAACAAAAAAAAATTTATTGGGGTTAATAAGAGGGTATAGTGCATTATATGGTTGGTGTCATTTTAAAGAAAATAAATCTTAACTAATGATTATAGAGTGATTTTTTTTTTTTTTTTTTTTTTTTTTG